TAGCTGAATTCGACGTATCGCAGCCAACTTACCCCGCTGTAAGGACGGTGGCAAAATCGACCTCCGCGGCTTCCCGTCGACGGCGCTTACTCCCACCTCCGCTGGTGGAGTAAGAGCGTCGATTCGGGGATCGATTGTCGCGTCCCGATGAGACGCGATAATTCGATCCTCGAGAGGTCGATTTCTACCCGCCGATTCAGGCAGGTAGTGCAGACCTAGCCATAGACTCATAGACTTTAAGGTCAGAGGGGACCATTATGATCATCTAGTCTGACCTCCTGCACAACGCAGGCCACAGAATCTCACCCACCCACACAGTGGTTTGCACTGGTTTAAACTCTCACCTTAAGCTATACCAGGGCAACTTGCCCATGTAGATGAGGCCCTAGGTATTTATGCCACACTCATCTCCTGGTTATAGCACCCGAGTCCCTCTGTTATTTGTATTACATTAGAACCTAGAGACCTCAACCAAGTTCAGGACCCCACTGTGCTACGTGGGCTACATAAACACAGTAAGAGACAATCCCTGCAATAAAGAGCTTAACCAGATAAGACAGACAAAGGCTGGGAGAGGAAACTAAGCTGCAGAGAGGTGAAGTGACTATTAGCCTCATTTTGCAGATGGGGAAACTGAGGCCCAGGTAGATGATGTGACTTGAATGAGGTCACCCAGGAAGCCAGAAACAGAACCCCGACCTTCTGAGTCCCATCCTGCCCTTTGGCCAGAAGACCACCCTTCCCTTTTAAAGCTAAACAATATCACCTCCAGCTTTAATACATTTTCCATTTAAAATTTAATACTAGCTTTTAACATTTAGTGCCATTTGAGATAGCAACGCTTTGTTTCAGTGAAAACTCTGTGGGAAACAGTGGGGCTCTTTTCATAACTATTTAACTGGTTGAATAACCATTGAGATGGGCCTGTGATTACTCCACGTTCTGGACTACCCAAGCTCATGAGAGGAGCGTTCTCTTAGAACTACTTGGAGAGCAATCCCAGAGCGCTCTCAGTAAGTTTACCTCCCACCCATTGCATGCTGATGTACGACTGAGCTCCGACACTGCATTAATGAAACCTCCCCCTAGAGCTGGGCTACATTCAGTTCTGAGGGAACATCGCTAACATCGGTCGTTACACTGGGGATGAATGAGGCCCTGTGACAGTAGAGGGAAAAGTCCCAAATCAGGTCATTCCTTTATAGCAGCAGTTCTCAAACTTCATTGCACCGCGGCCCCCGCCCCCTTCTGACAACAAACACGACCCCAGGAGAGGGGACCGAAGCCTGAGCCCACCCAAGCCCCACTGCCCCGGGGGGGGGGGAGGGGGCAGGCAAAGCCTGAAGCCCACTGCTCTGGGCAGGGGGGCCAAAGCTGAAGCTCAAGGGCTTCAGTCCCAGGCATGGGGCCTGCAACCTGAGCCCCGCCACCCAGGGCTGAAGCCCTCGGGCTTTGGCTTCGGCCCTGGGCCCCAACAAGTCTAAGCCAGCCCTGGTGACCCCATTCAAAGGGGGTCGTGACCCACTCTGTGGTCCAGACCCACAGTTTGAGAACTGCTGCTTTATAGTCTACACAAAAACAACAGCTCAGCATATAAAAGCTACATCAGAGGTCTGATTCTCCTCTCACTCACCTGAAGAAGAGCTCTGTGTAAGCGCAAAACCTTGTCTCTCTCACCAACAGACGTTGGCCCAATAAAGATATGATCTCACCCACCTTGTCTCACCGTTGTAACGCAGGAATAACTCCAGGGCGAGAGGAGAATCAGACCACAAGAACAGACAAAGCCACACAAACCACTTCTTTTATGAGGCTGTTCAGCAGGGAGTTTATCATTTTAAAAGAAAAAAACCTAGCCTTGTCTGGGTTTTCCCGTATGTTTCATCTTGTCTGTATCTGTCTTTCAGCTGTTCGGGACAGGGAATGTTTCTATTTTGTGTGCTGTACAGGGCCAAGTAGATCATCAGCACTAAACCAATCATAAATAGTCATGATAACATCTACGTCTTTCATAAGCAGGAGTCGCTGGAGTAAAATTGTTACCAGGGAATTGACTGTCCATGACATGAGTGACACCTTGCCATGTTGAACAGCTACCTCGTGATCAGGTTCATCACCTCCATTGTATAGGACTCTGATACCTTGTCACAGCTTTCACATGTGGGGCAGTGGGAGTTTTTGGGGAGAGCCCCTGAGGGGGCAGCTCATTGAGATTCAGAAACACACTGCACTATTAACTGTGACTGTCTCCTTGCGCGCTGAGCAATGAACTGCAGTGTGCTAAGACGGAGAAGCCACCGCCACTTGATTCAGACCACTAGGCTAAAGAAACACAGCTCTGCAAGTATATCACCAAAGCAATCACAAGGTATGCAGACATAATCAAGCACCCCTTCCTGCCTAAGGCAAGACCCACCCGTTTAAAAATGGGGAATCGGTGTTTGCTTTCATCTATCCGTCCATCCATCCTTTGCTAGACAGAAGAGCGAACACCATGGAAGCGCATCATTCTACTGACTAATTTGACCGGACACATTAATTGCTGCCTACAAGGAGGGTCAGAACTAAGCAGGAAGCCAATTCAGATCCACTGCAGCGCAGCACAAAAGCAAAAAGGTGTTCTCAAGAATTACCTCACCCTGAATCTGTCACAGGGGAAGAGAGATCGCTTTTGTTACAGATCTATCAATGAGGCATTGTTTCCTATTAGCACCACGGGCCTGTTTTGTCTGGAGATGAGTTGGGGAGTGAATCTACCCTGCATCTGGACCGCTTGCCACTAGGAAAGCTGTTGGATTTACGAGGTCTGTGTGGACAGATAGTGAGCAACTGGTTAAGCAGCAAGGTGATCCTTCTCCTGCAGGAATGGCTAGTACTGTGAAACCCTGCTGTGCTAGTCTGACAGTCCCTGCTTAGTTTCACGCAGTGTCCAAGGATGAAGGCAGCTTGACAACCAAAGGAAAATCAATCCATAAACATGACAGCTGTGGGCTTTAATTTGATGACCATTTCAGGGTTGGCCTTATGATCCAGTGGGTTCCAAGTAGCTGCGGGAAGGAAATACGGTTGCGAGATGGCTCCTGTCACTCCGGTCCCACTCTCTGAAACGACACCAGTGATGGGAGCCAACCACTGGATCCTATGAACTGCTAAGCTCCTTGGGTCTGGATAGTGACTGACCACTGCAGAGGCAATGCAGGGTCACACCCCCCCCTCCCGATTTCTGCCTCCTATTTAGCACAGAGTTTTTCAATTCTGTGGAGCGCACCCCCCTGAAAACCGTCACCTCCTGCCAGGAACCGGCAGATCAGAACCTGCTGGGAGCCTCCTGGCCCACTTGGGCCCCTGGCTTTCCGCTCTAAATGCGCTCTGCCCCCTTGATGCATTTTTGCCTCTCCCGTGAGAGCCTGTCGCCAGCCAGCGATGCCCCCTGGAGCTGGCCCCTGGCCGCAGAGCCTGGCTGCCACTAGAAGCTCCCTGAGGCGCTTGTTCGCTGCTGCCCTGACACTCCTGGCTCTGCTGCTGCTCCTCAGCCCAGAGGCGACACGTGGGCGGTAACATCTCCCTCCTCCCTCCACCATCAAGAGTTACCTGTCGTCTCTGGATCCCTGCTTCTAAGTCTGGGTCTCTCCGGTGCATTCTGAGGTGCAGACCCTGAAGCCTCTGTCCTCCTGATCCCCCCAGTTGTTTGGACACATTCCCTGCCAGAGACCACGTGGCTGCGGGAGCTCTGGTCTTAGTTATACCCTTCAGGGACCACATGGCAGTAGAGCAAGGCACACAGGCTTAGGAAAGGGATTTTTCACACACACACACACACACACACACACACACACAACACTTAAGAAGGACAAGAGAGTTACAGCTCTACGGAAAATCACAAACTGCTGAACACCCCCTCCGGCTGATCTCATCCCCTTTGGTGAGCCCAAGTTAGGTCCTTAGGGAAGACACGGTACCTCCAGCCACAGCTCCTCTGCTGGGCTCTCTCTTCCTGGAGATGGAACAGCTTCCTTTGGCTTGGAGGAGGAGCACACCTTTTGAAACAATCTCTGCCCCTCTAGCTCAGGTGGTCAAGCCAGGAAACAACAATTCTCTCAGCCAGGTGTGTAGGCTGGAGGAGATCCAGACCCCTCCACCCTCCAACTGGTTTTGGCATCGAATGTCTATTCAAAGTCACTGGCCCTATGGGGGGCAGCCCCATTGTTTCACCAGAGGAGAGCCACTCAGTCCGGATGGCTCTTGATGACAGCCTGTCGCAGCTTTCCAGACACAGCTTCCCCACTACGTCACGTTCCTGCGACAGAGTGGATGATCTAATCCAGAGCGACGGTTCCAATTACAGATTGTGTTCACACAACCCAACGGAATTCATAACTGGAGGCAGACATACCCCCCCCAAACTGTCGCAACTGCCTCTCCAGTCTGGCTGCCACACAGCTGAGGGGGAAGTGGGTTAGGACTGCATTTTGGGGTGCCCATGGGCAGCGCTGCTCTTACATATATTTAGAGAGACAAGGTGGGTGAGGTAATATCTTTTATTGAACCAACTTGTTGGTGAGAGAGACAAGCTTTTGAGCTTTTACACAGTACATGCATTTATTTAGAGGCATTCAGGGACCACTTGGTTTCTTCCCTCCCCCTCCCCAGGAGGCTCTGCCTCTTCTGCCCCTTCTATTTGCTTCCTATTAAATAAAAAGAGAATTTTTATTGCCACTAACCCTGTGGTTCCATTGCTTGGAAGGCGCTAGGCAAGGGGGCACCGGATGTGGCTGTTCTACTGCATCTAGGCTGGGGTGACCAAATGTCCCCATTTTATAGGGACAGTCCCGATATACGGGGCTGTGTCTTATACCGGCGCCTATTACCCCCACCCCCGTCCCAATTCTTCGCCCTTGCTATCTGGTCACCCTAAGTGCATCCCTTAGACCAGGCTCTGTGGAAGCACCCATGTCACCTGGGACCTAAACCAGCCTATTCCGTTAGCTCTGAGCTCTCACCTTGCCATCTTCATGATAGACAAAGATATTCCTTGTGCTGTTGTCCTTCAAGTAAGTGATTTGTAGTCCATGTGGGTTCCCTATTTTTGAAGGCTGGAAAGTCGCATTTAAATGTTCAATCTTCATAATTGCTTTGGGTTCTTTTGCCTGGAAAACACAGTTGAATGAATAAACATCTGAAAAGCAACCAGAAAAGCATCTTTCAAACCAGCGTGCAGTTCATGTAATCAGAAATGCTCCCTATTCAGGCTGCTGGTCAACAAAACGGCCTGGTGATTATGCAGCAAACTTACCTAGCCCACCATGAACGGCTGCCATCAGCTTGGGAAAGCGCTTTGCAGCTCTGGGAAATACAGCAGAGTTGGTGTAATACTATAGCACAAGGGGGAAGGTTCAGGCCAGAAGAGGGGTGAACCAGCTAGGTCACAAGACAAGATGCTGTGCAATACAGTGACTTCAGACATGCCTCCTCCCTAGCACAAGAACCCCCTCTCCCACGCCCTTCTCAGTCACCTTCCTCCTGACTCCAGATTCCCACCGGCATCTTCACCGGACTAGCAAATGGCCTGCATTTTTGCCTGGCTGAGCACTATTACAAATGTGCTCAGCCAGGCAAAAAATACAGACCACTTACCAAATAGGCCAGGATGCTTTCAGCATGCCAAGCATCCTGGACCAGTCCACTGCTGGCCTGGGAGAACGGAACATTATTCCCTTGCCAATGACAATGAATCTCGTATTGCCACGCTATCTGTCTGGATGCAAAGTGCCAGTTTCCACATGGGTCATGCTGTCTCTCCTACACAAACACATTTGTTTGCTTTTAACTGAACTCCTCACATTGCTCTTATCTGCCCCCACACTGGGAGGTCCTTGGGCAGAGCAAGAGACAGCCGAGCACTTTCCAACCCTCGCAAAGGAGGAAAATCATTTATTTCTCTGGTTAGATCTGTTTTACGGATTAGGTCTAAGTAGGAGTCTGGGAGCTGGAACCTCCTGCGCACTAATCCCAGGGCTGACACAGACTCCCTCCGAGGCAACTCACTGAACCTCTGTAGCACAGGTTCCACTCATATGAAGTAGGTCTAACAATTAACCTGCCCCAAAGGGGCCCTCTGTGGATGTAGCTACTGAAGGTGAATAAAGCCATTTGACGATTAAGGACCCTACTACTGTCCACTTGGTACCACTGGTTTTATGCCGCTGTAGCTCCCTTCACTTACAACTGGGTGCAACTGGTGTAAGACAATGGAGAACTAGGCCCTAAAAGTGCTATGCACCGTGCGTCAGAACTTCAGCTGGTGCAAATCAAAGTAGCCCCACTGATGTCAGTCAAGGATCTTGCCCTGTAAGTGCTTTTATTTATTTAGCATGTGCATGGTCGTCTAGCCAAGCACTGGCATCTTCAGTGGCGTGATGCAGTTCTTCCAGGCCACCGCTGAACCTAGTCAGCAGGCATTCATCGACAACATGCGTCATCGTCTGCGTCGCGCCGCAGCTGCACAAAGGGCTGTGATGAAGGCCCCGGCAATACTGGTGGGCTGCACAGAAACCTTGCCCAGTCTGGAACCTGTTCAACAGGGACCACTGGCGATGGGGCAGGTCAAAACCAGGCGGGCAAATTGTGGGGTCGGCGATGAGGGACTGGCTGGGGATTATAACAGATCCATTCCTCTCGCCAGAGTGTTCCTGCCCTAACGTCCTGGCGTGATGGATGAGACCATAATGGGCGACGTGACAGCAAACATGCAGCTGGTGGCTTAAAAAGGTCGTTGTGCAGCGGCAGGCTTGAGTTGGCGCGAACTTTCTCCAGTAACTTGCCAGTGGCAACCTCTCGTCTGATCTGAGGAGGAGCGATATTGCTCAGAACTGGGAGCCATGGGAGTGGAGTCGGACGCAGGGTGCTGGAGATGACACGCATGGCGGCATGTAACTGCGTACCCACCAGTTTGGTGTGTGACGATTGACTCCAAACTGGTGCGCAGTGCTCCGCCACCGAATACAAGATGGCAAGCGCTGACGTCCGCAAAGTTGGAGCACGGGCACCCCATGACGAACCTGGCCAGTTTGCTAAGAAGATTGTTGCGTGTTTTAACTTTAGCTGCTCTTTTCCTCAGGTGGGCATGGTAACTCAGAGTGCCGTCTAAGGTCACACGTAGATAGACCGGTTCTACTTCATGCTTCACCTTCTGACCATTCGGATAAACATTCAGTTCTCGGGTTGCGCTGGCGTGATGAAGATGGAACAAACTGGAGACTGTTTTTATGACACTTGGCTGGAGGTGCCAAGTGCTTTAAGCCCTATGATTAGATGCATAAGAGTGGAACAGCCACTAAACTTGCTGGAAGCCATGTTTTTTCAGCGGTGGAAATTGGCCAGCAGTCTGTATCTATTTTGTTCTAACAGAAACAATGACCAGGAGGCTGGTACTCATTCTTTGTAATCTCTTCTCCCAACTACTTCAACAGTGAATTTACACTAGTCATAGTCCCTTGTCCAACGCCCCTTCTAGGCGAAGATCTCTAAGTGCTCATTGAAATAAGCCTCCCAAGGCCATCGTGAAGTAGGAAAGCATCATTACACCCATTTTTCACAGGGGGCTCAAATACAGCATGGCATGGACCACTTGGTCCTGATCAAAGTTATCCCAAAATAGCCAAGTGCCCCTTCAGAGGAGAGACTGGTGATGATTTTGGATTCCTTGGCTTTAGAGCCAGAAGAAACAGACATGCACTTACTCTGTACAAGTGAGAGCCCATTCCACCTACAGCCAAGAAGAAAAATAAACCAGCTCCCACCTCCTGTAGGTGGCCTAAGATACTTGTACTGAATTCAACGAACAGGCAGTACTTCAAATATATCTAATATGCCTTGGAGATGGCAGCCAGCCAGCCAGCCATGACACAATACACAAGCAGGCCCAATAGAAATGGAAGAATGGGCCTACCAAAATGGAAGAAATGGAACCCTGGAAGAATGGGCCTACCAAAATCCTGGATTTATGAACATCGCTATCTCTGTGGACAGGCTTCGTGAGGGGTTTTTCTTTTCCCATGACTTGGCTTACAACTACTTGCTTGAGTGAGATGCGACGTCTGCCACAATTATTTTTAGGATCTAGGATCACAGCAGCTGATTTTTACCATGTGCATATGGTCAGACTAGCTGAGCTCCTGTATCCCAGTCACCAGAGGGTAAGTCCCCACCTCACAGCGGATACAAGTGTGCAGCCCTGGGCTCATGAAGCCTTACTGTGGTTTCGATGTGGATGTGAGAGGTGGTGGGGAAATCCAAGCAGGGTGGAAGTGTGTGGACAATATGGTTCCCATCACATCTGTGGTTGGTGCTGGCGTCACATTGAGTACCATGAAAGAAGTTTTTAAACCACTGGAGTGGACGAAAGCAACTTCATCTGGGTTACCAGAGACTCTCACTTCCTTTTAGGCTGTGATTGCATTTCTCCCACCCACAAACCAGGACTGCCTCAGAGAGCACGTGGTGGAGATGACGACAGCGATACCCCTCTAAATTAGCCACTGGGAATGGAGGAGAAAGTACCGGGAGAGATGTCTCTCCCTCCATTACCATTCCCCTCCATGACGCCATCGCTCATCAAGCCGCCACAAAAGACTGCTGCTGGTTCGATCCACTATTATTTTAACAGAATTTTTGCCCACGGCTTGTTAACGAAAGATCTTACAATCATTAAGCCCGTACACAAAACGGCTGGCAAATCCTAGGATTGAGGAAATAAGGCTGACATTAAAAAAAGGCTGCAGGGGAGCAGAGGGATAATGCTTGAGGCGCGAGGGAGAGGGATCAGCATTAAAAGTGACACTGTTTCGATGCATCGGCTGGTTAGTATTGAATCTGAATGTCACTCCTGACACCACTAAATGAACTGGCCCAACGGTACTTACAGATAAGCACCAAGATTGGGGTTGGGGAGTTGTGGGGGGGAGTTGTGAGAGGAGGGGGGGAGAGAGGGGGGCGCAGCACTGCCTGGGTTTGACATTAACAAGAGTTCTACTTGGGTGAGAAGGAGAACTGTAGTGTGGGAAACTAACGAGAGGATTTGGGGGTAAAACAAATAAAATAATGTCCAGTGTCCACATCTCACCACATACTTTCATCCAGCATTCATACAGACTAGCTGCACCATCATGCGTTTAATGGCAGCGCTGCCTCCGGCACGGAATACTGTTCAGAGACAGATCATAGAATATGAGGGTTAGAAGGGACCTCAGGAGGTCATCTAGTCCAACCCCCTGCTCAAAGCAGGACCAATCCCCAGACAGATCAGATTTTTGCCCCAGATCCCTAAATGGCCCCCTCAAGGATTGAACTCACAATCCTGGATTTAGCAGGCCAATGCTCAAACCACTGAGCTATCCAGCACAGGTATGTGTCAAGAGCAGGCAGTGGGGCAGGTGGCAAATCAACTTCTCTTCCCTACTGACTGGGGCCCACAGAGGTGCCAGGTTTTCACAAGGACGGCAAGGCACCGCTGGGTTTATGTAAAAAGGCCAGGAAAGCACATTGGATTTCTCTGCTTGGTGAGTGCATGACAGTAAAGTTCCTGTCCATTCATTACAAATGTAATTTTTTTTTAATGGCTCCACGTTTCACTTACAATAGATGAGATCCTCTCCTGAGAAGAAGACAAATACTTCCTAGCCTGACACTGAAATATAAAAAAAACAGATGCATTTTCCTTTATGACTGTTTGTCATGGTCTTTAAGGGAGCATTCAGAATCCAAAGGAGAACTCTTCACTGCCTGCCCCTCTGTGCCCTTGGAGTTTACAAACCAAGGACTGCAGCTGCCGTAGGCTTTCAAATTCCTTCTGCTATCCAAACACCACAGTGGGCGTGCAGCCTCTCCTCTGTTGTGTGATATTGCCGCCACCACAGTGTGGCCCCAGGCATAAAACTGATGTAGAGAGGATTGGCGGCTCCTTATGATCTAGCATCGCAGAGCTAGAGCCAAGAGAAACAGAAAACAAAGATGATGGGATCAGGGTGCTGCAGTACTCTACACATGTGGGCCCAGGTATTTAGATGTTGCTGTGCTCAGTGTTGCAATGCATAACTGATTTAGGAGCCCAAATATTTTGAAAGGGGATTTAGGCACTTAGGAGCCAAACTCTCACTGAGAGTTGATGGAATTTGGCCTCCTAAATCCCCTTTTAAGATGAAATTTTGGCTCCTAAATCAGTTCAACATTGTACCACTGAGCCCAGCAATACCTAAATACTTTTACAAATCTGGGCCTTGGGCTTTCGTTCCTAGAGCAGTAGAAGAATAAACGACCTGGCGCCTTTGAAAAGTTAGTGACTCCTTATGACAAAATGGTTCCATGGGGACTGTTTGATCAAAGACAAACCCACGTGAACAAAACCTCTGGTGACTGTGCTGTGGCCCCAGATGCTTACATCATTTTTGTTGAAGTACTTCAGTGCGCCTTCCCGTTCTGATAACACAAATTTTCTGCTTAAGAACTGCCCATTGTCACGTCCTCTCTTCCAGAGAAGCCCTTCTCTGTACCCTGCAAAGGAAAGAAATAACAGAGAATCATGAATGAAAAGTTTTGTTTTTTAAAGAGAAAAGCTGAAAAATGAACATTTTACAAGACACAGAGCTGACAGGCCACAGAGCCACCTTTCCCCTCAGACGTGCCTTCCTCACTCTGCTCTCTCTCTCTTTCTTTTGTATCTTGGGCTTCAAAGGTCGCCAGTCTTTGATACCGCGATTTGACAGGCGGTCTGGGATTCGCACTGCCCATCGCATTCAGAGACACTGGGGAAGCCTTCAGAGACACTGCTGAGTTCTTTCATTGGTTCCCAATACACCAACCTCGCCAGAATGTCTCACCCCATGAATCTTGCTCATTTTGCTTGCGCAAGGAGCCCTTTGGAGCATAACTGAGGCAAGCAGGATCTGGCCCCAAGTGTTGACATTACTAAGGAATCAGAGGGAAAAAATAAAACCCAGTTCCCGGTGGATAGTTGTTGATAACACAGAAAACCACAAGGACATAGCTGACTGCTTTTGGAGTCTGTCTGCTCAGATAGGACCCGGTGAAGCCAATGGGACTATTTCCAAATACCTTAACAAAAAAACACAGGGAAAAAAAACCCACTTACAAGCTTTTCCACTGACTTCAGTGGACTTTGGATCAGCACCTGGCTGAGCCATGGGACACTCAACTACTTTCTCCCGCTTTGAGCGGGTCCATCCAGCTCTGAGGTTCTTTAGCAAGACATCACAGGGAAGCATGCGCATAACCCTCAGTGGAATACAATAGGGACTATCACTAGAAGAAACAGCTTTCACCACCCATATTGTTCCTGTTCGGTTTCCCCACACCGCTTTCACCAGCACTAAAGTCCATCCAAGGATTTTGTTTTCGCAGATTATTTTTAAAACAAATCAGGAAAAGGCTGATTTTTATCCTGCCTCAGCGTTCCTGAACAGCAAACACAATGGCAACTAACCACTGCATGCCCTTCTCCAGTGGCACAACAGCCGGAAGGTGCAGCTTAGCCAGCCAAAGGATAACATTTTAAGCACTGTCCTTACTTTACAACATTATTTGTTTGTTTGTTTGTTTTTTACAAGCCTTTTCCTACACAAGCACTATAAATACTGATCGAGCTGTTTGATGCTCTCCTTCAGTTTGAGATCTTAATTATCAAAATATTCCCGTCGAGATTTCTCTCTCAATTTCTCTTCTCTGTTCTATTTAATTTTTATTATTGACTCTCAGTAGCTAGGATTGTAAAGCGAAAAAATTAAATGCTTTTTAACTTGTAACTAAGCTCTCTCTATATGCAAAGTAGCTACAGTATTAGTAGGCAGACTGTTATCTGTATGCACATTATAAAACGGCAATTTACAGAAATGCCATCCTGGGAGTGTATTTCAGAAATTTCTACCAGTGACTGTTATTGTAAATGTCCATCACCAAGCCAAATTTATATAAACCAAAGACAAAAAAAAAAAAAAAAAAAAAAAAAA